TTTTAATCTTTGAATGTATTAATTATTAGCTCTTAAATTAATAATTATTCGGAACTGGTCAAAATTCGGAACTGGCCAAACGACTGTAACTCGTGTTGTGTCTTGAGGTATTAAAGAATCTGGGTTCAACAATAAGAGGAAAGCTCACGGTGGACACAGAGTCAATAAAAGACGGACAAATCCATCCCGTAAAGGCACTATTATACATTTATTGCATGATAGTGAGGGAAACCTGAAGACTTATTCAGCCAAGAAAAATCATATTCCCCTCGGGCGAAGCCCTCGGGGAATATGATATTTCTTGGCTGAATAAGTCTTCAGGTTTCCCGAATATGATATTTCTTGGCTGAATAAGTCTTCATGTTTCCCGAACATTCAAATCATAAACAAGCAAATTCAAAGAATTGTGGTCCCCCGCTTTTGGTGTCTTTGTGGGTGAGATGTCATTTTTTTATGACATATTATGTCAGATATGAACGCCCTATCAAATGTCATTTAAAAATTATCACTGAAGTTGATTTTTTTTTTTAAAATAAGGTCAATCTTGAAGGTCAAGGGGTCAGAAATCATAGCATCCTCGGAAATATTTTGTCACAAATAATGCACAAGTCAAATATGAAAGCCCTATCGCTTTTCAATATAAGGAACAAGTTGGTTTGTGAAACACTGATGACCCGTATCGCAACAAAGCGAAGATTACACTTTTCTTAAATGCAAATTAAATATACTCACCGTCAATAGAAATGCAACACCCTAATTTTAGGGGTAAAAATTATATACGGGATATAGCTATATACCAAAAAAGTTAGGACATCTTTAACTTTGCCAAATCAGTTATTCAACGGTTGAATGGTTTTCATTCCATTACCGGAAGTTGATTTTTAGCCCCTTGAAGAAATCAAAAATGAGCATTTTTAATAGAATTATTGTCAATATTTTGGGTTTTCAAGGTTTTGTATCTGTTAATCATAAGTCTTGTACTAAAAGTCCGGAAAAAATATCCTTCTTTCTCTTCTGGATGTGATGCCTGTATTTCCTCAAAGTAACTGAAAGCACGCATTTTAACTGCTAATGTTGGAAATTTTCAAAATAAAGAAAAGGGAGAGCTACAGATGCAAATATACACTACATAACGACTTTTCGGGCTCATGTGTTTCAAAAGCATGAATGACAGTTCCTTGACCGGAAGTCCAAGGTTTACTACACTACGCCAAGTTAGAGAAAATTCGACCTCAGTATCTGAAAAACAGGCATTTAAAAAAGGACAAGAATATTTATTTCGCTCAGATTAAGACATTGATAAACTTAATGCATGGTCGAATTCGGGCTGCTTATGTTGTACATGGCGGACTAGCACGTTTTAATTGAATGGTCGGAAGGGGGGATGTTTTAGAGTTATGTGTTACTTTATAAGGTTTAAAGATGAGATTAAGAATGAATACATATATTTAAAAAGTAAATTTACAAAACAATGATACTTCATTTAAACGTTAAATGTTATCTTTAGACCTTAGAAAGTAACACATAACTTTTAAAACATCCCCCCTTCCGACCATTCAATTAAAACGTGCTAATCCGCCATGTACAACATAAGCAGCCCGAATTCGACCATGCATTAAGTTTATCAATGTCTTAATCTGAGCGAAATAAATATTCTTGTCCTTTTTTAAATGCCTGTTTTTCAGATACTGAGGTCGAATTTTCTCTAACTTGGCGTAGTGTAGTAAACCTTGGACTTCCGGTCAAGGAACTGTCATTCATGCTTTTGAAACACATGAGCCCGAAAAGTCGTTATGTAGTGTATATTTGCATCTGTAGCTCTCCCTTTTCTTTATTTTGAAAATTTCCAACATTAGCAATGAAAATGCGTGCTTTCAGTTACTTTGAGGAAATACAGGCATCACATCCGGAAGAGAAAGAAGGATATTTTTTCCGGACTTTTAGTACAAGACTTATAATTAACAGGTACAAAACCTTGAAAACCCAAAATATTGTCAATAATTTTATTTAAAATGCTAATTTTTGATTTCTGTTCAGGGAGCTAAAAAATCAACTTCCGGTAATGGAATGAAAATCATTTAACCGTTGAATAACTGATTTGGCAAAGTAAAAGATGTCCTAACTTTTTTGGTACATAGTTATATCCCGTACATAATTTTCACCCTTAAATTAGGGTGTTGCGTTTCTATTGACGGTGAGTATATATTATAACCCAAAGTAGGGTCTTCTAACAAGAAATACGATTGTGAAATATGAAAGCCCTAACACCACCTGTTCAAAAGTTATGGTCAGGGATAAGTTCTTGAAATGTACGTCAAACTCCAAGGTCAAAGAGTCAAAGTTGTTAGTTTATTAAGAAAGGTCTTCTCATATGTATTACATATTTGATGTATGAAAGCCCTAGCACTAACAGTTCAAAAGTTATGACCAAGGTTAAGGTTTTTAAAGAGAAGGTCAAACTCCAAGGTCAAAGTCAAAGTTCTTAATATCCAATGAAAGGTCCTGTCACAAGGATTAAATATGTCAAGTATGAAAGCCCTATCCCTTACCGTCCAAAAGTTATGGCCAAGGTTAAAGTTTTTTCATAAGTATGGAAATCTCCGAGGTCAAGGTCAAAAGTTAAAAGTTGTTTGTATCAATTGAAAGTTCTTGCCACAAAGAATACATACTGTAAATGTATTACATTTGGCGTGTACAATATTTGGCGGAAATTCAATTTTCAACAAGTTAGCGTAGATTTGATTTAGCGCTGTCTGAATGTGCTGGTTATAAATGTTAATATACAAGTCATTTAGCGATGTACTTGAATTAGCGATCTCTGCTTTCCGCCAAAATCGCTAAATAGAATACACCGCTAAATACGTTAACAGTATGTGAAATATGAAAGTATTAAAATTTACTTTTTAAAAGTTATGGCCAAGGTCATAGTTTTTTAAAAATTAGGTCAAACTCCAAGGTCAAGGTCAAAGGTTCAATGTTCTTGATATCCAATGAAAGGTCCTGTCACAAGAAATACATATGTGAAGTAAGACAGCCCTACCTCTTACCCTTCAAAATTTATGGTCAAGGTTTGTTTTTAAAAGTAGGTCAAACTCCAAGGTCAAGGTCAAAGTTCTTGGTATTCAATGAAAGGTCTTTTCACAAGGATTACATATCTGAAGTATAAAAGCCCTAGCCCTAATTGTTCAAAGATTATGGCCAAGGTTAAAGTTTTTCTTAAGTACGGAAATCTCCAAGGTCAAAAGGTCAAACTTGTTGATATCCAATGAGAGGCTATGCCACAAAAAATACATATGTGAAATATGAAAGCCCTAGTCTTTACCGTTCAAAAGTTATAGCTAAAGTAAAAGTTAAGAATTTTATTGTAAAAATGGGTCAAACTCAAAGGTCAAGGTCAAAAAGTCAAATTTGGTAGTACAGTTAATACACATGTGAAATATGAAAGCCATCGCTCCTCTCAATCAAAAGTTATTGGCAAGGTTAAGTTTTTGTGACAGACGGACAGCTCGACAGACTGACGGACAGACGAATGAGATTTAATATTCCCTCGCTTTCGAGAAAGTGGGGGACAATAAAATGAAAGAAACAAAAACTCGTAAAATACGAACGCAAACCATGGATATATAGTTCTAACATTACAGAGATCTCTCTGATATGTTCCATGGCTGGAAGAAGGGCGCTATGCATGACTGAGAAAACCTTGCAACAATGTCTTGCATGGCTCTGTTATTTGATCGATAATTGAATGATTGTTCAAGAAGCCTGGCTAGGACCTTTTATAAAGTGAATATCTACTCACTGATGGCCTAACGGTTAATCATTTAACACTATCCATTCAAAAATATATGGTTATAGTGGAGTATAACCATGCAACAATTAACTTTTACATGTAGGCTTATTACGTGTAGCAGTACCCATCTGAAAAAAGTATATAAGCAAATGAATACTGTTCTTTGAGCATAAAAATTCTTCATTAAATACTGTAACAAACAATGACCTAATGGGAACAAGGTTACAGGATGTTCTCACCTGTTGTGTGAAGTTATCGCCCTTATAAATTTAAATGTCATTTATTTTTTTTTTTACATAAATAAATAATTCTGCAAAATCAATTTTAAATCAAAGTGATCAAGAATAAATATTTTATAAAATTCTTTTAAAATAACGATATTTTTTTCTTTCATTGTAGAATAGGTATTTGCCCCATTATTTTCCATTAAATAAACTATAAAACATCTAGGTATTAAGCATATATTATTTTTTCCCATAACCTTAAATTAGAACTGACTTCAATAAAAAACAAATAAAGAGAGGGGAGAAAAAGAGAGGAGAGATAGAGAGAGAGAGAGTGGGGAGACGGAGAGAGGGGGTGAAGAGAGAGGAAAGAGTGAGAGGGGAGGAAAACAGAGGGAGGGAGAGGAGAAAGGGGTGTGAGAGTGGAGGAAAAGAGGGAAGTGAAAGTGTGGAGGAAGGGAGAGATGGGGGGGGGTTGTTGGTGAAAGAGAAAGGGGATATAGTGTGGGGGAGATAGAGGCGCAAATGACATTAATAATCCTTGAGAGAGAAAATGGTCAGTATTGAGGGAAAAGCAATGGGAGAGAAAGATGAGGTTTATGGGCCACATCGCTAACCTGAGTGCACTGCTTCGTCGCTATATAGTTTTTGTCCTGTCCGTCCGTCTGTCTGCTTGTCCACAAAAAAAAAAACTGGCCAAAACTTTTGCTTTTGAATTTATGGCTTACATATTTCATATGTGTTTTTCTTTTTTTTTTAGTACTTTGTTAAAAAATAATAATTGTATATAAATACTGTGATCTTCTGACAATGATATCATAAGTAAGGTCCTGGACAATCGTGGCCTCAAAGAAGCTAAATCATGTACTGATCTACGATGTACATACACTAGAAATTTTATTATTTTGAAATAAGAAAAGTTTGTAGCTGAAAAGTCAATAAATAAATATAATTGATAAATCGTGAAAAACAAGTTCAAAGACATGTACAGTTCAAAACTTTATTGTTTTAGACAATTTTAACAGAGTCAATTTTCACCGTGTTAAAGTCATAAAAATTGAAGATTTTGAAAAATGACCCTGGGTGTAGTCTACATGTGTTTAAAAATAAACCTCACAATTTTTAACCCGGGTCAGTAGTCTACGTTACACTGCAAGACACTTGTTGTATAGCAGTGGTCAGTCATACCGATATACATGTACATGTACCAGTCAATTGTGATTCAATGACCCCATCAAAAAATACAGAGTCTGCCAAAGATATTCTATAATTGGATTTTTTAGATGAAGGCCAATAAAAAACTTAAAATGTAAACGAAATAACGTCATTTTTTCATTGTCATTTTGGTAATACAGAATGTACTCTGTGTATATATAGTCCCATTTTGTTCGATACTCAAGATCATGCTTCGAGTACGATTAGTTTTTAAACCAAGGTAGACTACTGACAGATGAGATGACACTGAAGGAAATTCAGCAATCTTGTTAATTCTATAGTCGTTATAATTACCATATTAGCAAACATGACCTATCACTGAGTGCGTATGTCGTACCACAATTTTTCAAAGCGAATGTAGGAGCCTTTTAATTCTAAACACTATTTCGTCTATCAGATTATAATATGGAGCCCACAGCTGTTGTGACCGACAGAATTTAACTATACATACTCCTCTAAGACACTTGGCCCAACACTTAAATTGTTTATACACTGTTTGCAAATTTGTATTGTTTGTAGGTTGTATTTTATTCAATTATTTAGATCGATCACTGTTCGTTATATTTGCCTTCCTCGTTCATAAAAGGCAAATTTCATGGATTGTTACTCGTGTATTAACAAATTACAAGTTGATATTCTTCTTTCACAGAGTTAAGTTTGACATTTTCTGTTCACCATTTTTGTCGATCTGACAGTCACGGTCGCCATCTTGTTCTTCTATACCTCACGTGAGTTTATACGCTGCTCGGACTGTTCGGCACTGACATGAGATTTTCCTGCGGGGATGGGTCTCCATCATAATTTGACTCCGAGGCATCCTGTATAAAACCATGGCGGCAGTGATTCCAGATGTTTATTGGATGAACACAGGAGATCAATAATAAAACCAATAGCACCAAATTTATCTAAAATCGATATTTTTATGTATTAGATAAGTTGATGTTGAAACTAACGGAATGTAAATAAGTATAGTATACTATGACTTTAAAATCATATGATGTTTTCCATCACAAAAAAGGACCAAACAAATTCAATAAATGTTTAGCAATGTGTAAGGAAAAACGTCATAAATAAACTTATTTTGACAGTAAAGGACATTTGTACTGTATATAAAACTGGAATTCACTTCTTTGAAAACAGAGATAAAACAATAATTGTTCAATTAAATCGGATGAAGATATGATGGAATTGACTTTAATTTTGATGAACTTCATCAAGAAGTATGTCTTTCAAATAGAAATATTTTTTTAGGAAAATTACTAACTTTACCTGAAAATCCTTTAATCGATATTTAATAATGGTTGTCTCATGATTAATTGCTATGAGGATTGTATTTTTCAATAAAACTTTGATTAATTGAAAATAGTAATTTACCCGTAAATCTCTGGCAAGGAAACTGAAAATATCCCTTACATTGCCCACAGAATATGCAAAAACGATTGAAATAAAGTCTTTCTCTTCGTATTTTTTTTTAATATTGCACGAAAATACATAAGAACAAAACATAAAGAACACTGCTGCTAAAGCTGTTTGAATACTTACGTAAAAGAAGTTATTTTCAAGGTTAACCTGTATTAACCTCTGGAATGCAAAACCTGACAAACTAGTGAGACTGGCAACCAAAAAGTGACAGCCGATGTATTTTCCCAAATGTTCAATTGGAAAATGGCTGAAACAGTAAGATAATGTTATTTAATAAAGATCGAATTGATTTTAAGAAAAAGAACCATTTTCAAAAAGCATACCTAAATTGTATCTTTGCATGTAAATCCATTTCATTCAATACATATTTTGTATAAATTACTATTATATGTATTGTATCAGTTGAAAGTATGTTTTGGAAATCTAGATGAGAGAATTAGGCCTTTGGGATAATATAGGATTTCTTAAACCAAAAACATCTTGTAGTTCTCCTTAGTCCTAACTTTGTCTTTAGTTTAGGGAATAACTATCTTCTAATTTGGTATTTGCGACCGTTAATGCTGAATTAACGGTCGCAAACTGAGTTTTACCGGTAAAATGGATGTTTGCGACCGTTAGCCAATCAAAACGTGTTTTACAAAACAATTGCATTAGAATTTAGATTTAACCAACAAGACGTGTTTGTGACATGTTGATACATGTATTCCCGTATGGCAGTTCAAGGTGTATTCCCGTATGGCAGTTCAAGGTGAATGTTAAAGTTTCTCAAAAATGCACATCAAATTTCAAGCTAAAGGTCAAAGGTCAAGATTGTTGGTACCTAACGTCTTTTCACAAGGAAGACACATATGTATAAAGTAAGAAAGCCCGAGCTCAAACCGATTATATATGTTTAAAGATTTGGCAGACAGGGAGACAGACGAATGGATAATTTCAAATAAGCAGACTATATTAATTTATGTAATTTAGGTAATTTTTCCAAAGTGATGCTAAATGGTCATCTCACTGAAATAGTTTATATGAAAAAGCTTGTTCTCGGCTAAATCTTCTAAGAATGTTGAAACATTTGCTAGATACAAGTGCTTTGGTAAAAGTCTATTTTGCTTTTATTCGACCCATTTTAGAATATGGTAGCATTGTTTGGAATAATTGCTCACAAGAACACTCAAATCTTTTAGAAAATATTCAAGTAGAAGCTGCCCGAATAATAACAGGACTTAGGGAAAATTCATCGAGAAATGCTTTGCATTTAGAATTAGGTTGGGAACCACTAAATAAGAGAAGGGAAAGACAAAAACTCTTGTTATTCTATAAAACTGTTTATGGTATAGTCCCTCTCTATTTACAAGAAATGGTCCTATCTTTTATGCCACCAAATCATGGTTACAATCTTAGAAATATTGATAATTTTAATTTTGTCGTACCTCAAGCAAGGACAGTCTCATATTTCAACAGTTTTCTGCTTTCTACTATTCAATTATGGAACAATTTACCACTAGAAACAAAATGTATTGAATCTTATTCATGTTTAAAGAATGTCTTAAAGAAACCTACTGCAGATAGAATAAAGGATGTCAAGATCTTTCATTATGGAAATTGCAAGGAAAACATTATACACTGTCAACTAAGAAATGAATCTAGTAATTTAAATGCTCACCTGTATAATCAGTATTTTAGTGAAATAGCATCTTGTACTAAGTGCAGATATCTAAACGAGGATAACTATCATTATTTCTTAGGATGCCCAGCATATAATAATCAGAGAATGATACTTTTTGAAAGTCTTCAGAGTGTAATAGAATTAGAAACCATGTCTCCTGATCAAATTTTAAATACTTTGCTATTTGGTGATAGACAATTACATGTACCTTATAAAATTAACTGTTCAATTTTTGAAGCAGTCCAAATGTATATCTAGTCTTCAAAAAGATTTTGATAGTATTTTTTAATTTAGAAAAAATTAAATCCAGATATTTCTTATATTTCTATTTACTTCAAGTCTCAGTATTTCCATTTTCCATGTATATAGAGTTTGTTTCCTTCTTTTGTCTTTGCACTTAATTTAATGTTAAGAATTGACAATGATTTACAATGATGAAAAAATTCCTTATAAGTTACATTAATTTCTATTGTTATCTAAAGGTGGGAAAAAAGAAAAAAAATGAATCGAATGAAATTATACAGAGGAGTTAGTACTAAGTATGTATACTCGCTATACACTATAATGACAAGAAAATTAAAAAAAAGTCCAAACAAACATCAAAACAGAATAAGTAAATAAATAAAGAGCAAAGAACAAATATGTAAAGAAAAATACAAAACAGAAGGAAATAGTAACATTAAACAAGAGGCCCACGGGCCTTATAGGTCACCTGAGTATCATGTAACAACTTTCCAACAATTGAATTTGGTTTGTGTTTTAAACCAGAGGCCATGAAATTCACGATTTTGAAAGAGGCACTATTACTTATCATAATTATACACTTAGCAATGCTTACTAGATAGTCACTTAACACCCATAAGTAGATCAGAGTAACTAAGAGAAAAATGCACTTCCATTCTAAACCATGCAATTGTGCACCCCACCCCACAGGAACCACAGACCCTGGGGCCACATATTTCAAAATTTTATCATCATAAATGTTATTTCATCAAATATGGTTGATTAATACTAATGAATAGTTTTCAAAGCATTCATTTATTTTCAGACTATGTACCCCCCCCCCCGATACCCCTGACCCAGGGGGCATGAAATTAACCATTTTGCTAGATGCACCTTTCCTCATCATAAATATATATATATATATACTTAGATCATTGGCATAATACCAGGAGCAAAGGAAAAGATTTTCAAAGAATTAATGTAATGTAGAGCCCCCCTCTCCTTACACCAAATAGCTAAACCCCTGACATAGGGGCCATGAAATTAACATATTTGGAAGAGGCACTCTTGCTCATTATAACTATGTACTTAGTTAGTTTATTTGATACTCAGGGTCAGAGGAGAAATTTTTTTTAAAAATAATGCATTTTCACTGAATAATCTATATAGCCACGCCCTAGCACTAGAACCCCTGACCCTGGGGCCAAGAAATTCACAAATTTGGAAGAAACACTCTTGCTCATCATAACTATGTACTTAGTTAGTTTATTTAATATCCAGGAGCAGAGAAGAAGATTTTCAGAGATTTAATGCATTTTCACTATATAATCAATAGAGCCCCACCCTAACACCAGCACCCCTGACCCTGGGGCCATGAAATTCACAAATTTGAAAGAGGCACTCTTGCTCATCATAACTATGTACTTAGTTAGTTTACATAATACTCCAGAGCAGAGAAGAAGATTTTTAGAGATTCAATGCATTTTCACTATATAATCAATAGAGCCCCGCCCTAACACCAGGACCCCTGACCCTGGGGCCATGAAATTCACAAATTTGAAAGAGGCACTCTTGCTCATCATAACTATGTACTTAGTTAGTTTATTCAATACCCCAGAGCAGAGAAGTTTTTCATAGATTCAATGCATTTTCACTATATAATCAATAGAGCCCCGCCCTAACACCAGAACCCCTGACCCTGGGGCCATGAAATTCACAAATTTGAAAGAGGCACTCTTTCTCATCATAACTATGTACTTAGTTAGTTTATCAGGTCACCTGAGTAAACTCAGGTGACCTATTGCTATCTGTTTTCGTCCGTCGTCGTGCGTCGTGCGTTGTGCGTCGTGCGTTGTGCGTTAACATTTGAACATTTTCAGCTTCTTCTCTGCAACTACTGAACCAATTTCAACCAAATTTGGCACAAAGCATCTATGGGTGAAGGGGAACAAAAATTGTGAATTTCATGATCCCTGCCCCCCTGGGGCCTGAGGGGTGGGGCCAAAACCACTAAAATTAATGCAATCTTTAAAAATCTTCTTCTTTACTCCTGGACATCAAGCAGTCAAACTGTTCGCATGATTGTTATCAGCATTGAGTCCTCTACCAAAATTGTGAAATTCATGGCCCTGGGGTCAGGGGTTCTAGTTCTAGGGCGGGGCTAAATAAGTATATAGTGAAAATGCATTATTTCTTTGAAAATCTTCTTCTCTGCTCCTGGTTATTAAATAAACAAACTACATACATAGTTATGATGAGGAAGAGTGCCTCTACCAAAATTGTGAATTTTATGGCCCCAGGGTCAGGGGTTCTGGTGTTAGGGTGGGGCTCTATTGATTATATAGTGAAAATACATGAATTCTTTGAAAATCTTCTTCTCTGATCCTGGATATTAAATAGACTAACTAAGTGCATAGTTATGATGAGCAAGAGTGTCTCTACCAAAATTGTGAATTTTAGGGCCCCAGGGTCAGGGGTTCTGTTGTTGGGGGGGGGGGGGGCTCTATTGATTATATAGTGAAAATACATGAATTCTTTGAAAATCTTCTTCTCTGCTCCTAGGTATTAGATAAACTAACTAAGTTGATAGTTATGATGAGCAAGAGTGTCTCTACCAAAATAATGAATTTTAGGGCCCCAGGGTCGGGGGTTCTGGTGTTGGGGGAGGGGGGCTCTATTGATTATATAGTGAAAATACATGAATTCTTTGAAAATCTTCTTCTCTGCTCCTAGGTATTAAATAAACTAACTAAGTGCATAGTTATGATGAGTAAGAGTGCCTCTACCACAATTGTGAATTTTAGGGCTCCAGGGTCAGGGGTTCTGGTGTTGGGGGGGGGGGTGCTCTATTGATTATATAGTGAAAATACATGAATTCTTTGAAAATCTTCTTCTCTGCTCCTGGTTATTAAATAGATTAAATAAGTGCATCATTTTGATAAGCATGAGTACTTCTACCATAATTATAAAATTCATGGCCCTTGGGTCAGGGGTTCTTGTGTTGGGGGGGGGGCTCTATTGATTATACAGTGAAAATACATGAATTCTTTGAAAGTCTTCTTCTCTGCTCCTAGGTATTAAATAAACTAACTAAGTGCATAGTTATAATAATAGTTATAATAATGAGCAAGAGTGCCTCTACTAAAATTTTGAATTTTAAAGCCCCAGGATCAGGGGTTCTTGTGTTAGGGTGGGGGGCTCTATTGATTATATAGTGAAGATACATGAATTCTTTGAAAGTCTTCTTCTCTGCTCCTACGTATTAAATAAACTAAGTGCATAGTTATAATGAGCGAGAGTGTCTCTGCCAAAATTATAAATTTTAGGACCTCAGGGTCGGGGGTTCTGGTGTTAGGGCGGGTCTCTATTGATTATATAATGAAAATTCATGAATTCTTTGAAAATCTTCTTCTCTGCCCCTAGGTATTAAGCAGTTGAACTACCTATATAATTATGAACCAAGACCCATTCTTCCAGAATTGTTAATTTCAAGGCCCCAGGGTCAGGGGTACTGTAGAAGGGGGGGGGGGAGGGGGGCTGTACTTATAGACTAAAAATGAATGAATTGTTTGAAATCTGCTCCTTGGTATTAATCAAATATTTTTGAAAAGCAAGGATGCCTTTTCAAAAAGTGTGCAATGTGTGGATCTAGGCCTAAGGGTCAGGGGTTCATGTGTGGTAGGGGCACTACTGATTATTGCTGAATATTACTGATTAGTTGAAATGATTTTTTGTTCCTCTGCCTTGCCTATGGGTATTAAGTAACCTAACTAAGCAACTGCTAAGTGTATAGTTATGATGATCAATGATGCTATTAAAATTGTGTATGCCATAGCATCTGGCTTAAAACAGGAATCAAATTCAATCACTGGAAAGTTGTTGCATAATGCTCAGGTGACCTATAAGGCCCATGGGCCTCTTGTTTAATACCTCAGAGCAGAGAAGAAGATTTTCAGAGATTCAATGCATTTTCACTATATAATCAATAGAGCCCCACCCTAACACCAGAACCCCTGACCCTGGGGCCAAGAAATTCACAATTTTGGAAGAGGCATTCTTTCTCATCATAACTATGTACCTAATTAGTTTATTTAATACCCAGCAGCAGAGAAGAAGATTTTTAAAGAAATAATGCATTTTCACTATATAACCTATTTAGCCCCGCCCTAGCACTAGAACCCCTGACCCTGGGGCCATGAATTTCACAATTTTGGTAGAGGACTCAATGCTCATTACATTCATGTCAACAGTTAGCCTGCTTGATGTCCAGGAGTAAAGAAGAAGATTTTTAAAGATTGCACTAATTTCAGTGGTTTTGGCCCCACCCCTCAGGCCCCAGGGGGGCGGGGACCATGAAATTCACAATTTTTGTTCCCCTTCATCCATAGATGCTGTATACCAAATTTGGTTGAAATTGGTTCAGTGGTTTCAGAGAAGAAGCTGAAAATGTTCAAATGTTAACACACGATACACGACACACGACGGACGACGACGGACGAAAACGGATAGCAATAGGTCACCTGAGTGACTAAGGTGACCTAAAAATAAATAAAATTTTCTTAAGCAATAACACTGAGTAAAGGGAACAAGAGGCCCATGGGCCACATCGCTCACCTGAGCACCAAGGGTAGGACTAGTATAAAATGGATTTTTTATTGTAAAGTTTAAATCCAAAAGTAGTCCCATGACCAATCATGGATTTGCTATTTTTTAGAAAATGATTGAGAAGAAGATTTTTAAAGAATTTTCCTATATATTTCTATGTAAAACATTGGTCGGCCATTTTGGCCCCTCCCTACCCCCCGGGGTCATGATTTGAACAAACTTGAATCTATACTACCTGAGCATGCTTCCATATAAATATGATGAATTATGGCTTTGTCATTCTTGAGAAGAAGATTTTTAAAGAATTTTCCTATATATTTCTATGTAAAACCTTGGTCGGCCATTTTGGCCCCGCCCTACCCCCGGGGGTCATGATTTGAACAAACTTGAATCTACACTACCTGAGCATGCTTCCATATAAATATGATGAATTATGGCTTTGTCATTCTTGAGAAGAAGATTTTTAAAGAATTTTCCTATATATTTCTATGTAAAACTTTGGTCGGCCATTTTGGCCCCGCTCTACCCCCAGGGGTCATGATTTGAACAAAATTGAATCTTCACTACCTGAGCATGTTTCCATATAAATATGATGAATTATGGCTTTGTCATTCTTGAGAAGAAGATTTTGAAAGATTTTCCCTATATACTCCTATGTAAAAATTTGGTCGGCCATTGTGGCCCCACCTTACCCCCAGGGGTCATGATTTTGACATACTTGAATCTACACTACCTGAGCATGCTTCCATATAAATATTATGAATCATGGCTTTGTCGTTCTTGAGAAGAAGATTTTTAAAGAATTTTCCTATATACACGTGTATTTCTATGTAAAACTTTGGTCAGCCATTTTGGCCCCGCCCTACCCCCGGGGGTCATGATTTGAACAAACTTGAATCTACACTACCTGAGCATGCTTCCATATAAATATGATGAATTATGGCTTTGTCATTCTTGAGAAGAAGATTTTTAAAGAATTTTCCTATATATTTCTATGTAAAACTTTGGTCGGCCATTTTGGCCCCGCCCTACCCCCGGGGGTCATGATTTGAACAAACTTGAATCTACACTACCTGAGCATGTTTCCATATAAATATGATGAATTATGGTTTTGTCATTCTTGAGAAGAAGATTTTTAAAGAATTTTCCTATATATTTCTATGTAAAACTTTGGTCGGCCATTTTGTCCCCGCCCTTACCCGGGGGGTCATGATTTGAACAAACTTGAATCTACACTACATGAGCATGCTCCCATATAAATATGATGAATTATGGCTTTGTCATTCTTGAGAAGAAGATTTTTAAAGAATTTTCCTATATATTTCTATGTAAAACTTTGGTCGGCCATTTTGGCCCCGCCCTACCCCCGGGGGTCATGATTTGAACAAAGAATCTACACTACCTGAGGATGTTTCCCCATAAGTTTCATCTTTCCTGGCACAGTGGTTCTTGAGAAGAAGATTTTTAAAATATACCACTAAACTTTCATTAATTCCCAATTATTTCCCCTTGAATAAGGACGTGGCCCTTCATTTGAACAAACTTGAATCCCCTTCACCCAAGGATACTTTGTGGAAAGTTTGGTTGAAATTGGCCCAGCGGTTCTTGAAAAGAAGTCGAAAATGTGAAAAGTTTACAGACAGACAGACGGACAGACGGACGCCGGACAAAATGTGATCAGAAAAGCTCACTTGAGCCTTCGGCTCAGGTGAGCTAAAAAAAATAAAGTGCAAAGACATGTACAGTTTAGACAATAAGACAATATTTCCTTCGGAAAAAGGCTTCAAACTGAACATTATTTTAAAAGTAACGTCAAGCGGAGTAATACGTTTTTGACGTAACTCGTTGTGACGTTGGCAAGTTATGTTGTACAAAATATTATATGTTCCTCTGAATGATTCAGCCCATGAAATTGCTTGATACAAGTGAAATTAAATTATTTTCTTTTACAACGTACTTTAGATTATTTAAATCAAATTGATTTTTAAAGTAAAATTTGTAAATAATGACATATTTTGTTGATGAACACAGAGAGAAATCTTTTTTAACGGTTAACATATTTTTGATAGTCCGTCGGTTGGAACGTTAAATACATGTAGTTCCCTATATTAAGGTTATCAACTACATGTATTTTGCCTGCAATAGATAAAAATTTCCCGCCGATAATTGCTGAAATCTTGCCGACTCGGCGTTGAGCAAAATTCAATCAAGTGACAGATGCCCTACCGAACAACTGAGAATAAACCATGACGTCACAATTGAATCGTGAAAAAAACACGATATGCTCAGAATTAATTTTGCAAACATACCAATTTCAAAATGTAATAACTTTGTTATAAATGAAGATATTTTGATTACGTTTTCAGTTTTTGTAATGGTTTTACATGGACCATTAAAATACACAAAAATCTCAAATTCGATAAATTTGGCCATAAGGTCGATTTCTATCCGACGAGGCTCATTTGTAACCTTGACCTTGGAGAGGACTTATATAGGCCATGCCTGATGTCCAATCCAATTATGTAATCTTACTTTACATTATAAAATATTGATTAAATTAAATAAATAAATAGGCTAAAACTGTATTTAGAGTAGCATTTTGAGAGTATTTTACAGAAATTTCTATTTTTAGTAACCAAGGCAACACCATTCATCGAAATCAAAAACTGATAAGACAATTATGTATCTTAGTGTAATCTACTTGTGTGCCTAGTTATATTGAAATCAGACCAAAACTGTAGATGGAGTAGCATTTTTAAAGTATTTCACAGAAATTTCTATTTGTAGTAACCACAGCAACACCGTTCATCAAAAAAAAAAACCGATATACTGAATTATGTATCTTAGTGCAGTCTACTTGTGTGCCAAGTTATATTGAAATCAGACCAAAACTGTAGGAGGAGTAGCATTTTGAAAAATTGTTTACAGACAGACAGACAGACGGACGCCGGACGCATTACTATCGCATAAGCTCTTCTGGTCTCTGACCAGTAGAGCTAAAAAAATACTTACACGTGAGTTAAAAAGCTGCAGATACACACCAACACCGACACTCGCTCTATTATCTGTAGAACAAATCCAGCTATCTGTATCGTTACTGACGGAACAAATGGCAAAATAGAGTTGAGCAAAGCTAAAGCACTTGAAAGCACCACCAGAAACAGAATTCTATGCATAGTCTGAATGCGAGGTGGACCTGAAAATGAAAACGTCATCGAAACATCCAATGAGGACATACTTTATATTTATTACGGTTTGGGCATAATATGAAATAAAAGAAATCGTCGTTACTTTACGTCATTTAATTGAAATTTGAAGATTATTTATAAATATTTGTATTTATATTAAAACTATTAATATTTATAGGCAATAGTCAGACTTCATGGTACTTATCTTAATTGTACATATTATCAAATAGCCCGCGTGGCGCAGTTAGAGCAACTGCTCTTGAGTCGCGAAGTAAGGGTTCGAATCCCACTTGGAGAAGTGGATGAGACCGTATAAATCGAGGTCCTGTGTCGCAGTCGTAAGTGCCGAGTATATATAGGACAAAATTTGCAGCTCACCATCGGCAAGCGGCACTCCATATGAGTGAAAAATTCTCAAGAGGGACGTTAAACAAAATACAAACATAATATAATGTTATCAACATTATATCATTTTGTACTTTGACCTTGTCGAAATTTTGCCATTATGAAGTTAATACATTGTATTTTAAAAGAAAATTGTCTCCATGCTTTTCATGGAGGTTACTCTAGAAAATGTAATTTCAAAATCCTATTTTAGGCTGCTGTGAAAAAAAAAGTTTGATTTCATAAATACCTGTACTTATTATTCTTAGCCATTTGCATTTACGCTGAAGACGAAGGACAACAATTATGATTCAAGAAATACAACAAACTCACTGTAACTTGATAATTTCTTCCAGTCCAACAAATATCCCAACACAGGAGCCACTGGTAATCCTAGCATCTTCAGACTCGAGTACAGACGAGCATACTCCGTATTTACTGTTAACAAAGGAATAAATATAACTCATACATATATAAAAAGTATCAATATCCTGGAATTATTTTCTATACAAACAGGTGAAAATAAAACAAGGTTTGTATAAAGAGGGTGGGTTACTTAGGAGTTATACAGCGTGATTCTTCTTTTCTTCCGTGATTTTCATCTTAATCAATATTTTAATTTTTCAACTAGTGTTTTAAAACCACTGTACCAATTCCAATCTCAACGTAATGCATGACATTGATGAAAAGGTAAGCTCCAGAACTGTAGCCCTTCGAAAAAAAATATAATTTGAGTGACTATTTGACAGACTGGTCATCCATCCCAAAGTTTTCAGACCAGCGAGCTACAGATCTGCAGCTACAAGTATGGAAAAGTTTGAAGAAAAAGAAAATTCAGTTTTTTGTTGACGTGAAAGGCTAATGACCCTTCCCATTATGTTACGCTTTTTGTAATCGTGACATGCTGGGTTGGTGATACAGATGGGAAAAACCTTTCACACTTAAATATTAACTTCTACAAGGACAACGGTGTAACAATTTGTAAGTTGACATTGAGTTATTTATATCATGGACTTGAGGACAAGAGGCATATGTGCCATCACGGTCACCTGCGTATTGTGATTGCCTCAAGTTATGAGCAATTTTGGCTCACCTGGAACTGTTCCAGCATTATTAACGTTTGGGATAGGACTCTATTTTTGTACGTTTAACAGCTTGTTCAGGATGACCCCAAGTTCAGAAGTAAAGAAGACAAGATAAAAATAAATAGAATTGGGTCAAATAGTTGTGACCTGAAAATCAGATAAAAGGCAGATAGAAGATGCTCAAAAATATTGACATTAATTGGGCTTCCGTGAAGACGTCCGATTAAAAAAAAAACCAGTGGAACCATTCTAGGTTTTATGACGAGGAACGAATGACCTTTTAAAACATTTTAAAAAACTTTATGGATCAGAATTATTTTTGATGAACATGTAATTAAGTTACACCATACTTTCAGTCAAGTCCTATTACTCAGAAAGAACAATTAACTTATGCGGATGGAATAACATTAGTGTGTAAAATATACTTATTGAATAAAATAGTTAAAAGGTTCAACATTAACATGTTAAACCTTTTAGCAATTTGTGAAGCGAAAACATACATCAATCGAAAAGACCGAGAGGCACATGCAATAATGTCTGTATACAAGGGTGATGTAGACAACAGAGAAATTTTATTGTTATTTTTCCTATACTTATTGTCGTAAAAAACCTTGGAATGGGGTCCCTAGAGAATATAACCAATCAAAACATTACGACATGCAGTGAAAACATTGAGCTATCGCTGGGTATTAGCGTCAGAACTACTCAACCTAAAACTCTAAGTAGATTTGTTTGGTCGCACATCGATCGTAATTAATCAACAATCTTCTTTGTTTGGAGGAAGCCAGTACGCAAAGTGGCAGCATGCAACACAAACAGAGTTCAAAACAGATTTATCTTTGGAAGTTGATATTGGCATAAAGGCGACTAGATAATACATCTGGCAGATAGTCACGTCGAAAAAAAACAAATTTCGTATTCAGTTACTTTGCTTAAGTTTCAAGGCGCGTGAGGTATGGTGTCACCATAGTCAGGTGATTCCTGATTGCCTGATACTAAATATTCTCTTGAAATCTTTATATTTCGAAAAAAAGTTTAGTGCATAAGGCATAATAGCAGAAATTAAAACAAAAACGGTGACGTTAATAATTTCGAAATACCCATTTTAGCCAAACACATCTAAGATAAACAGAAATTTCCCGAAGTCATATCTGTATACACGTATATGTACATGTAATCTCGATGCTCAACACACCCACCTCCTTCTGTCAAAAAGGAAGAATTACTACTTTATTTACTATGTTCTTTGTCTGCAGCCCCCCAAAGGAAATACAGATTTATTTATACTTTGTTCTTTGTCTGTTCCCAATCTAATGAACAACAAACGAAAGTTTTCATCGTAAAGAAATTCCCTCAAATACTGAATGCCGAACCAGACCAGAGACCACCCAAACAACGAGGAACAGGTAACGTTCTTGAAGGCGGCAAAATCTTCTCTGTTTTTGGAATCTGAAATTAATAGGATTTTTTAAAACTTGGATAGCTAGATATTTAATCAAATAGGATTCAAAACTTCGAATTTGTTGTATATATTTTCATACATTAATCAGTTACTACAAAACTTATTTCTTTTTTTCATAAATGAATATCATTTACAGGTCTATCTTTATTAAATATTTTGTTAAAACTTCTGAGTCGTGATCATCTTTTTAAAGTAAAATACTAATACCAAATTCCAAATCGCTAAGCAGTCATAAAAAAGCAAGCTTTTGATACCTCTAGAATTTTTGCTTTTCACACATCCGCCATTTAACACACGATTGGTTCCGTAAGTCACCGGAAGAGGCCAGGGTATTCGACTCTTGGGTAAAAATGCTATCGTGGAAACCAAAATGGGGACGATGGCAATGGTTAAAAACATGAAGGATGTTTGTGTTCCTACGCCAAGGTCATTTGTTGCCTGGTGAAACAAAAATTTACCATCATTGTTTTGCGCCAAAAGAAGGAAGCCTGTAAAGAATCTAACTTAGACGTTTTAATTGCTGTCTCCGGGAATAAAAATGAAAGGAACAGCATCAGTGTTAAATTTAGTGACGCTAGGGTTTTAATCCCCGTATTTAATTGTTTATTGGGAAGCTCCCTTCATTAAACGAGAGTTAAGGAATCCGCAATAAATTTTGCTTGAAAATGATTGAACACATAAAAACAACTCCACAATTAATTTTAAGAAGGTTTAATTTTAACAAGAGAGAATCGAAATACTATTTATGTTTCAGAAGAACGTTTAATATAGAAGTTCATATTTTCTCAATTTCGATGTAACTGTATTTCAAAATTCAACAAAACAAAAATGGAAATCAAGCTGGAATTTTTAGCAAGAAAATCAGGCCCATTATTGACTCAGGTCAGATATTTTCAATAAGAGAGAATCACAACAGAGAAGTCAAACCTTACATGTATTCAGTAGAACTAAACAACAAATCTTATATGTATTCAGTAGAACTAAGCAACAAATCTGACACATTCTTTTGTATTCTTGAAAGCCAGAGAAAAACAATTCTATACGCTGATATGTCCTAGTTTAATTTTTTGCAACAGTCTGTTGACTAAAATTTCGGATAATGGATAAGCTACACTTAAAACCAAACCTAGAAAAAGAACCAACAATTTGTTGCATCCAAAGCTAGCAAAATGTAACATTCATCTTATCCTATCAGTGAGGATGTTTAAATTAGTTTGTTGATGTGGTTTGATAACTAGGATTTAATGGAACTAGAGACTGAAGCACTGTAAAACACACATTCTGACAATACTTGAATGATAAAGAAGAATACAATCATAAATCATTTTCCATAATTAACTTGCAATAGCTCTTCACTGACTACTTTGTTTCTTTGTACCAGTACACAAACCGAGACCTTGAGATCGGTTACTGATGAAATATCAAATTAAATTTATCCCTTAATTACAAACTACATCCTGTTATGGATGGGATCGGTAATTTTATTACAGCATGTTTTATAGAGAATTCTTCAGTTCAAATGAACCATATACCCGGTATTCTCATCTGTCCTTATTTTTGCAAGAAATGTATGAGAAACACTGATGGCCCCGTATGGTAGCTAATGGAGAAGGTTGAAGTTTCTCAGATGCAAGTAAAACTCCAAAGGCCAAGGTGTCAAAATTGTTGGTATCCATAGGAAGGTCTTGACACATATAATATACCGGTGAAATATGAAAGCCCTAGTCCTTACTGTTAAAACAAAAGTTGTAGCCAAGGTCATTTTTAAGTGGGTCAAACTCTAAAGTCAAGGTCAATACCGGTATGTCTAAAATATCTATAGCCATTGAAAGGTCTTGTCATAATGAATACACTTGTGAAGTATGAAAGCTTTAAAACCAACTGTTCAAAATCTATGGCGAAGGTTCAAGTGTGATATTTTATGTAGAAGTTGGTCAAACTCAAAAGGTTAGAATACACCGAAGAAATATGAAAACCCTTGTGCTTACTGTTCAAAAGTTTTAGCCAAGATATCAAAAGTGGGTCAAAACTTTAAGATAAAGGTTAGAAGGTCAAAAATATTTGTACCCACTGAAAGGTTTTGTCACAACACCCGTGTAGTATGGGTATGGAAGCCATAGCACCAACTATTCAAAAGTTATGTCCAAGGTAAAAGTTCGGGTTTTTTTGTGAAACTCCATAGTAAAGAGGTCAAATTTGGTGGTACCCAAAGGAGGATCTTGTCATAAGAAAAACACTTCTGAAATATGAATGCTATATCCCCACCCATTCTAAAGTTATGGACAAGATTAAAGTTTTTGCAGACAAGCAGACAAACAGACTATCTTGTTCTGTTCCGCAAGGATCTGACACTTTGCGTTGAGACCCAACTCAATTTACCTTCATGCAACCCATAATCAAAGAACAGGAGTGGTATGCTCCAATAAAAGTAGCCATGACAGTGTATCGGTATTCTCCAAATAAATTGGCCACCTGTAGATTTGTGATGAGAAGTACCAGACCAGCTAGAGACACTAACACCAGGGCAGGTATCAACAGCCAGGGCGCTGTAAGTCAACGAAAGTAATGTTAACAACTCAAGTCACAAATCAAAAATCATCAATATCATTCATTTACTCGCACTTTATTGCATAATATTGACAAAAAAATGAGACGAACAAGACAAAAGGGGAAGTAATCTGGTAACTAAATGTAAATGGGGTCTCAAGAAAATCTTTACATTTATATTATTAATAAATTTGCAAATAAACTCCGAAACTAGTGCACAAGAGTTCTTACGAGTAATTACTAATCCAACAATACACTACATACAAGATGATGTCCGATAACTGTTTAGATTTTACTCGCATAGCAAGTGTCCTACATTAAATTAAAAGTCTACTTTAATTTTCTATAAACAGCCATGAAAGTGCAAAAACATGAGTACGGTGGCGTTTCCGGTTGGCAAATCTAAGCTACTGATTTTTAATGAAAATGACAAGAATCCGTTTATTTATTCCATAAAACGTCATCACTGAATTATTCAATCAAAAGTTGATTTAAGGATACACCAAAGGTTTCCAAAGGGCAAAATTTAATTTGCTTGTAATTCTTTTGTTAACAAAGATAACATATTAAAAGTATATACCATTTGAAAGCTTGTTAAATTTACTATTAAATGATCCTAATTTGAATTTTCATTTTTATCTTATTAAAAAATTATAAATATTTTAATGTAAATATTAGTGCATTTATATTTTATAAATCAACTTTTTTGTATTCCACCTCTCAAAGTCAAAATCAATGTAGATTAAAGATGAATAAAACCGTATCTCAGATTTTTGATAAATCTTCTTATTCAAAAGTTACATCCAGTTGTCTTTCAATGTCATCAATTTATTGGCCCAATTCTACGTTTCCCCCAATAATTCGAGAACTGAGCAAGATATCAAAAATCTGAGATACGGTTTTGTAAACACACATTTGAGACGCATTCTGGCCAGTTTTCAGAGAAATTGGTCAATAAATAAGGGAGCTGAATCCTTTGAAATAATACCACCAACTGTCTGATCTTACTTTACAGTAGAGGGCAAAAACCCATTACACAACAAAGTCTGCCAAAGCTAGAAATATATGACACCTTGGAGATTCAGCTTTGGATACCTGTCACTTATCCATATTTCCTATGCATATTCACAAGAATGGGAGGTTCTTTTCTTTAGTAAAATAGGTTCAATTCTGAATCAGAAAGATTTCCCGGCAAAATGGCAAGAGCTAAGCTCCACCTCCTGTTTCATGGTCATTAGTGACCTGTTAGATCTCCTTCCCTAAATCTAGAGTCCCTGTAGTTTAATTACTGATAACCTCTGTGTGGCTAGTGAAGAATTCCCCAAGTGGTCACAGTGATTTATTGCTCCTTTCAGAAGCAGGCAGTTACAGACCAAATCAGAAGCTTCAATAACGGCACATTCACATGTGTTAGTGTTTATGTTTGATTATTGTTAAATAATTAGAAAACCATTTGATAAGCAGCAAGAATTTTTCATGCTTTATAAAGCAGTGATTAGCATTGTTTTCCTAGCCAAAAATCTCAAAATTGACAAAAATCTTGAAAAAAGCCCTTGGTGTATCCTTAAATGATACAAAAGAAATCAGTTATGATAAATAAGGAAATTTGCAAATTATTTTCGTTATTCACCGATCTTAATATTGACGTAAGTTTCTAGAACAACAAAAGACAAGAGACCCAGGGGCCACATCGCTCACCTGAGCACATCGGCTAGGAAAAAGCACAGATCAGATCAGAACTGAAAAGTTTACTGAGGGGGATGTGTGTTCCTACCCTCCCTACCCCAAAGGGCCACGATTTGAACAAATTTAAATCTTCAATACATGAGGATGCTTACATGTCAATATGACTAAACATTATAGCTTTTCTGTTCTTGGGATTTTTCCTTTATTTTTATATGTAAAACTTTCATTGGCCATTGTGGCCCAACCCTATCCCTGGGGGTTACGATTTGAACAAACTAAAATCTTCACTAAGGAGGGTGATTCCATATAAATATCACTTATCATTTTGAAGTACTTGAGAAGAAGATTTAAAAAGATTTCCCTATATATTCCTATGTAAAACTTTCATCGACCATTGTTGCCCCGCCCTACCCCCGGGGGTCATGATTTGAAAAAAATTGAATCTAAACTACCTGAGGATGATTCCACATGAGTTTCATCTTTCCTGGCCCAGTGGTTCTTGGGAAGAAGATTTTTAAAGATTTTTCCTATACTAGTATATTCCTATGTAAAACTTTAATCGGCCATTGTGGCCCCACCCTACCCCCCGGGGGTCATGATTTGAACAAACTTGAATCTACACTACCTGAAGATGATTCCACATGAGTTTCATCTTTCCTGGCCCAGTGGTTCTTGAGAAGAAGATTTTTTAAAAATGTCATTAATTTTTCACTAATTCATATTTATCTCCCCTTGGTGGCCTTTCATTTGAACAAACTTGAATCCCCTTTACCCAAGCATACTTTGTAACAAGCTTTGTTGAAATTGGCCCAGTGGTTCTTGAGAAGAAGATGAAAATGTGAAAAGTGTACGACGACAACGACAACAACGACAGACAACGGACAAATTTTGATCAGAAAAGCTCACTTGAGCCTTCGGTGAGATAAAAACGAGGTGATTATAGCTTCTCTATGATCAGGAGTAAAGAAAATTCAAAAGGTTTTAATGCATTTTAATACTAGTTATTAATTATTGGTCTGCAGAGATCACAGTTAAAGGTTTAAAGGTATATTAAAATATTTAAGTTGTTTGATAAGTAATTTGTCTAGAATTTGGAAGTGAAAGGTACAGTTGATTGACAAATGCTGGAAAGTGAAGAAATTCTCTCCAACCCTGCGCAGAAAATCATGCGCCGTAAATTGCCTATATTTGCAATATCTGTAGCATGGTCAAAGACAAAATATAAAACACAGTTGGAGGAGCTATGGATGAAATGGGTATACCCATTATTACGTGGTGATTACGTGGTTTACCATTGTTATGGTAAGGGAGCACTAACCTTGATAAGTGCTCACAGTACCTCTTTTTTTTAGAGAAATATCATGAACATGTAACAACCAGAAGTCTCTGTCGAGACTGAAGCTCTACTGGTTTGAACTTATAGCAAAGGAAGAGAAAAGTACTTAAGCAGCTGGGATTTGAAACTTTACAACAGCAATAAATAGAATAATGATCGCTGATAAAGTCTCTTTATGTTCTTAGTGTATTCTACTTGTGTGCCAAGTTATACTGAAATCAGACCAAAACTGCAGGAGGAGTAGCATTTTGAAACAATTTTACAGACATTTCTATTTTTAGTAACCACGGCAACACCGTTCATCAAAATTAAAATTTGATACGCAGAATTATGTATCTTAGTGTAGTCTACTTGTGTGCCAAGTTATATTGAAATCAGACCAAAACTGTAGGAGGAGTAGCATTTTGAAAGAATTTTACAGAAATTTCTATTTTTAGTAACCACGGCAACACCTATCATCAAAATCAAAAACCGCTAAACAGAATTATGTATGTTAGTGTAGTCTACTTGTGTGTTAAGTTATACTGAAATCAGACCAAAACTGTAGGAGGAGTAGCATTTTGAAAGAATTTCACAGAAATTTCTATTTTTAGTAACCACGGCAACACCATTCATCGAAATCAAAAACCGATACACAGAATTATGTATTTTAGTGTATTCTACTTGTGTGCCAAGTTATACTGAAATCAGACCAAAACTGTAGGAGGAGTAGCATTTTGAAAGAATTTCACAGAAATTTCTATTTTTAGTAACCACGGCAACACCATTCATCGAAATCAAAAACCGATATGCAGAATTATGTATCTTAGTGTATTCTACTTGTGTGCCAAGTTATACTGAAATCAGACCAAAACTGTCGGAGGAGTAGCATTTTGAAAGAATTTCACAGAAATTTCTATTTTTAGTAACCACGGCAACACCGTTCATCAAAATCAAAAACCGATACACGGAATTATGTATCTTAGTATAGTCTACTTGTGTGCCAAGTTAAACTGAAATCAGACCAAAACTGTAGGAGGAGTAGCATTTTGAAAGAATTTCACAGAAATTTCTATTTTTAGTGACCACGGCAACACCGTTCATCAAAATCAAAAACCGATAAACAGAATTATGTATCTTAGTATAGTCTACTTGTGTGCCAAGTTATATTGAAATTAGACCAAAAGTGTAGGAGGAATAGCATTTTGAAAAATTGTTTACAGACAGACAGACAGACGGACGGACGCCGGACGCATTACTATCGCATAAGCTCTTCTGGTCTCTGACCAGTAGAGCTAAAAATTAGAGGTATTGTAAGCACTGAGCTCACAAAATGATAGTCCTTGCCTTCCTTACGATTATTATGGCACAGCCCATGTTTTGCTCTTGGAGAACCAAAATAAGTGTCAGATCAAAAGTGCACAATGACACTACGTAATAATTAAGAATATGTGAAAGTATCGTTAAATTTTATTCAGTGGTAGGAGGAGTTGCGGATAAGAGATGGGTACCTTTCAATGTCATAGAAAGAATGGCAGTGCCCATGTTTTGCTATAAGAAATCCAAAATATTTGTCGGATCAAAAAGTAAAAAAAAAGTAAAAAAGGTGTACAATCAAAGATTCTGTTCATTAAATTCCATTCAGTGGTATAAAAGAAGTTGTAGTTGAGAGATGTACCCCAAAGCGTGAAGACGTGCGGACATCCCGATCATATACATTTATACCCTACCACTTTCAAGTTTTACTATATTACTTGACAAAGTCATTTTTATTTGACATTCAAAGTACAAATAATTTCACAAAACCTACGGGAAAAATGTTTTGGTGGAGAAAATAAGCATGTAATGAATATCACAAATAGCGGCTAGAAGGCAATCAAGAAAGCATATCAATTTACTTTTTGTGCTTTATCTTGCTGTTTTAGCAGTATTGTTTGTCATTAAAAAACACGTTAGGGAATATCGTGTAACACGTTAGGGGATATCGTGTCGGGAAAACGAGTGATGGATTGAGATCCAAGAATTTCTCTGCTCATTAACAGAGAGATGAATGACCGCTAACTTACCAGTACTCGAAAACGTCATCATCAATGTTCCTGTGATGAACGTAAATCTGCGAAAGAAAAACATTGATTAGATGTTTTTAAAATAAGAGAGCTCATTTCCTTCTAATTCTTTCTATAGTAATCTTAAATATCATTTTGTTGGCAGAAGGAGTTAATGACAGGTTTAACCGAGTTCTTCATTGAAAACAAACCACGATATTATGGTATTTTCCAGTGTAGTTGTTCAGGAAATATTCTTTGGAGATAGATGCCAACTTTTTGTTTTCTTTTTTAAGATTTGGATTAGTTCAAAAACAAAAAAAAATGGTTTTAATTTTAGTAACTGTTAATTTCTTTAACTAGTAATAATATTTTGTTTCATTTTCCAGTTAAATCAGCATCTTTTTTAACATTCGAATTGATAAAAAGAAAATACTTTAAAAACATTAAGGATATCATACTGCATCAATGGGCAAAATGAAATCTTCATAATTATTATGATAATTTTCCCTTTATTCTCATGCTACTTTAACATTGCGATAATGTTAATTTATCTTGTTTATCTGCTACATGTGTTACATTAAAAGTTTAAATCTAAAGTTTAAACTTATCTATAACTATCTATAAGTTTAAACTTTAGATTTAAACTTTTAATGTAACACATGTAAAGTATAAATTGTATCGTTCGTTATGTTTTTCATCAGGATTTCGATTTTTTAAAGTAGATTTGTCATTTTAAAAAATACCTCATGTGAATTGCCTTGAGATAACTTGAACTAAAGAGAATGAATATAGACTTGATTTTAACTTGGCGATCACTGTGTTCCCTTGATGGATGTATTCTTTAAGAATATAAAATCAAATTCATATTGCAAATTTTAATCATAAAAAGGACACGATGTACCTTTAAAAAAATCCAGTGATTTTAAATAAAAATCTGAAGATCTCATTGGACATTACCTTTTGAGATATCTTATCTTTACATACTTTGTACCTTTGAAATATCTTGAGGTAAGGCCCTGCCTTTCGGAAACCTTACCATGAGACACGTACGTGTCGCATCCATTGTACCTTTGAACACACAGTTGCTTGTGGACAGGACCCCCCCCCCCCCCTCGTTATAGACCCCTTGGCTTTTTCGACTTTTTTCTCATTAAATAATCTTTTATTGACATATTTGTGATAAGATCTATACCAACAAATCGAAAAATTACCTAAAACAAACGTTCTATAAAATCTACCCTACATTCTATATATGTTCCCCATATAACCAAACATGTGTAAGATATCAACAATAGATATATTCTTGTTTTTTGTACGAATTCTTCATCAAAATTTTATTTTCAAACGTTTTGTAGATTTAACACGAAATATTTAAGGAAAAGAAGGTATTTTAATAAATTGCATTTTTAAACGGGCATACATGTAACTTTCAAAACCGATACAAGCAAATCAGGTATTGAAAAATAATTAGAAACATTTCATTTACATCAGCGGTTTAGAACTCGTATTCTTCCAATAATTTGAAAGACATTTTTTAAAGTGTACATCAACCAAATTTCTTCAAATGTTTATTTCGAAACAGTGTTTCAGACTTTCTGCAGAACTGTGTATTTCGGTAAAAAGTCGTCTCCTCGTCACTTCCGTTCACTAAGCAAAAACGCTGAATGGAGCCTGACATCCTTGTGGAAAACTGGCCATAACGACTGTTGAAGTGCCTTAACCTTCATAAGAATTGGTGGTTAATGAAAAAGAATATACAGTTTGAGTTGTTGATTTTAGGGCTTTGTTTAGATTTATCAGACGATTCAGCCCAAATTCTCGGCAGTGCCTCTCGGTTGAAGTGCCTTAACCTTCATAAGAATTGGTGGTTAATGAAAAAGAATGCAGGTGGTTCTGAAAGTTGGCAACCTTGTTAATTTATATATAGAGAGTGGGGTAGAATTTTTTATAAAATGTTAGTTTAAGCAAATTTTCTGAATTGATAGGATAGATTTTATCACAAATGTGTCATCCATATATAATTTATGTGAAAAAGTCTAACAGGCCCGGGGGTCTATATTGGGGGAGGGGGTGTCCTGTCCTCAAGCACCTGTGTTTGAACATAGACCTAAAGTGCTTTAGAGCTTTGAAATATCTTACCTCAAGACAAGTACATGATGCATACCTTCAAGATGCCATACCTTTAGACAAGAACATTTATATTTAGGTCACGGACTGCAGACTTGAAACTAAGCTCAGTTTTGATGTGATGAGAAAATATAAATACAGGAATTCAAGATAAAAAAAGTTATCTGGTTAATTTTGTTTTTCTTTCACGTAACTAAGCCCCATTGGAAGGTGATAACAAAGTTTTGTATGATTATTTCTTATCACAAAAAACGATAGGCAATACGTCCTAGGAAAACGAGAACTTCCATTATTTGCAAATATTGATTGATTGCAGTAATAACAGGAGAATCCTACTCTGGTTGAATTGTATAACCACATTTTAGGAGAAAAAAATTTTTTTTGTGTGTTTTAGATTTCATAATCGCGTGGGCCGACATCTCATAATTGATTACAACCAAGGACAAGGAAATAACCCTTCAAAAGAAAATGGCAAGGAAATGTAAAATTAGGATTTATGTTTACTCCCTGCCAAGCATTTACAAATACGCAGAAATACAAACAATAGTTTTTTTTTTTTTTTTTTTTTTTTTTTTTTTTTAAATCAGTAAGAATTTATTTATTTAAAATTATATCCATTTATAAATTACTTTTTTCCAAAACAATTGCAAGGTTTTACTTTTTTCTTTTCTTGGAAAAAGAGTTATTTTCAAGGGGTGAAAACATTCATATTTCATACTGAACGCTCAAGTGTGTTCTATTTCGTAGTAAACGTACAAAAAACCCACTCGGAGCTCCTCGAGTGGCTCATACCTCGCACACTAACCTCGGGCGTCAACGGTGTTCTACCATCTTGCTGAGTCAGTCATGTGAAGTTATTTGAATTTCATTCAAACGTTATACTTTTGAAATCCGAGTTACTTTGTTGCACGCTCAACACTGTGTTCTTGCTTTCAAATATTACTAACATATGGATATGATTAACATGAGGAATTACACAAAATTTTAATAAAGAAACCTTTTCGAAGAACTTTAGGCAGAGCGAAATATGAAATCAGTGACAAGGCAGATTCCGGCGGAGAAATGTATCGACTTGATGCGTATTACTCCACCTATCACATCCGAGGTTTGAATGGGGCATAGCGGATTCAGCCGAGGATTGCCGACTGCAAAAAAACCTGCAAAGCAAACGATGTAGACCCAATACAGTGCAATCAAATATGCTCATATAAAATGCTTTCTATGTTAATACTAGATAGAATGTTCTATCGTTAAAAAGGTAAATGTCCTACGGACCCGGTTTAACGAAAGAATTCGTTCCTTTTATTCTCAATGTAGCAAAATAAACGCGGGCGATAAGTCGTACTCATTGCATTTACTACGAACAATCCAGGGAGTTCCGAATGTAAACATGGCAGGTAAATTTGAAGCGAGAGAAACTTTTGAGAAAATTGGTTGAATTTCCGTCTTTTTATGGATTATTTTTTGGGATAAAAAGCATATACAATCTCAAAAAGGTTTCTTAAATTAATTTGTAAGTTATTTTCAGTGCATATCCCTTTGTATTCTTCAAAATCGTTTCGGAGAGATTCTGCAATTATTTGTTACATTGCGAGTATTTGGGAGGTATTCTAACTGTGGTGAGGGCTTGTCCCCAGACACAGTTAGATTATTCTTAACTATGTTAATACAGGAGTAAAAGATTCCAGCCTTGCAGAAAAGATATACCGCTTCGTGTAAGACTTATCTATCCTCGTTTAAAACATTTTGTTATAATTTATAGTCAACTATAATTTTTCAATGCGATATCTGATCTTCTAGGGTTCTATAATTATAAAGAGTACCATCTTCAGATATCAGTCGAGGAGGCTTATCCCACGAGTCTGATATCTGAAGATGCACGAGTTCAAAAGGTACTCTATATGTTTTGTATCATTGTTACACTTGGGTTACCCATGATCTACCACTTCCAAGTTGATAGCATGAGATTCAACTGTATTCTCATGCACTTAGTTAACCATGATCTATTAAATTTCATTATGCTATATGACCAATGAAAATAGAGCACGTGATTCGAAAAGAATAGTGCGCTGTATTTCTTAAACTTTCTACCTTGCCCGTTTAAGTCTGAGCGCCATGGATGACGTTTGTGATTTTATGCTGTAGCAATTCGTAGATACGTTGGAAACTGAAATTATTATGGAAAATTCCTTAGATCAGTTAATCCTAACACTCCAAAAATGTGCAATTTAAACGTTCAACGATTGCCGCATTGGAAAATATCTACTTTTGACCGAGTTGTGTATGGATTCTCCAAATTACTAGATGCAAAAATTTAAATGCGTTTTGTTTTAAACTTTAAACTACCTATATGAAAACGGTTAAATTTTGGTTATAAACCATCATCAAAATCAAATCAACAGAAAATCTCTGATTTGATCTGCTTTGAAATAAGCGTTAAATCAGAAACCCAATTCTTAAGGCATTAAACAAAAGAGAGAATTGACATTGATTTTTTTTTTGTAACAGACAGCGTTGTCACTCAGTGTGATATAGCGAGTGAAGCAAAATTAAAAAAAAAAAAAAAAGAAGAAAAACTGTGCATCATAATTCTTTGACTATATACTGAATCATGTCTGACAGAAAATTAAGTCACGGAATACTATAATTCATAGTTGGATTTGCCAAAAAAAAACAATTATAAGTCTAGATGTTCAATAACATTTAGAAAGAAAACAACTTTAGCAATATGACAAAGAAAGAAACAACATTGCTTAAAAAAGAATCAAAGACAAAAAAAACAAAAACAAAAAATAACTCCAAAACAAAAGTGCTAATTTTTTAACGAAGCATTAAAAATCACAAACGAAACTTGATAAAAGTGTCATCTTGTAATTATTTTAATTTACCAGGTGATAGTAAATACAAAATTACAAAATGACAACTGCAACACAAATTAGAAAAAAAAGTACTTCGTGAATTATAGGAATACATTTGTATTAAAACTAAACAAATTTCATCAAAGGTTAAGAAATCCATACTCTAGGGGAATGTGTGCTCCTTGGAACACTAAAGCTGGAATACTCGACGTATATAAGATTTGTTTAGCAAAATTTTGAAGTATTTGTATAACATTTTCCGTGTTTTTTCTCGAATGAAGTCAATTATGATGCTTGTTTGCTTCCCCTCGAACCTAAAGAGTGATATACATGTAGTCTCAGCTATAGTAATGGTGACAGAATGCCATTAAATAGAAGTTCCGCTAATGAAAAGGAAGTGGATTTATTTCAGACGTCTTTCTCATTACATGCGCCGTTACAGGAAATGATGACTTATCTGAAAAAATTGCCCTTTTATAGAAATACAGAGGACAATGTGGTAATTCTTAAGATACAAATATACGCTTGTGTCCACTTAAAGCGTTCTTTATGCGCAAGTATTATCACATTTCTTTATCTGTTGGCACTGTAAAATTGATATGTCAATCATTTGTTTTGTCCACTCGAAATGACTACGTCTGCAAGTATCTAATTGTAAATGAGTATCGTTGCCAATGCGTGCGTTGACAATACTTCCTTTGGTTGATATTAGTGGTGTGGTATACCATATGCAAAAACCTTGGTACCAATGTTTACCATTGTTAACTTTTATTGGTTAATAATTCTGCAGATCAATTCACATTCGTAGCAGAATTGGTAACACTGTCTTTTGTTTATTAGAATCACCACCAAGATGGCTACCGGGACCGTTCATGATACCGCTACTGAAGTTACCTCATATAAATAATACCACTTTAGAGGAATTTCACAACTATTTAAGGGAGAATACTGTTGTTTCTACACAGTGTTGTACATTTGGTAGAAATGAATTATTTTGGCAAAAGAATATCACATAAAGACGTGTGTTCATTTTAAGTTATGACCATAAGAATCATTTCATTTTATAAAAGCAGTGCATCTTTAACTGAGTTTGCTATTTCTGAAAAAAATGTATTAAAAAAAACTAAACATTTGCCATTGATAACTATTGATTAATATTGGTGACCATTAACGATCAACGGGAACCATTATAAACCTTTGGCAACGTTAGAAAAGACTCTTGCTATTTCGTCATTAGTTTACAGTTTTAAGACAAATAATTGTTCCATAATGATTGCTTAACATTGGTGCCAAAGACAGTCAATGGCAAATCTATTTGTACCAATGGAATAATTGTGAACACACGCAATAACTCACCCTTCCTTCTTTTTAAGCTTGTATTTTTGTGTGTGTGAAATGTGACCAGCCACGCGTGCAAAATGTAGCAACGTATATGGGAACATACTGCTTTTGTTTGTATGTTTTAAAACATATATATCTTAGAGAAAATTTCACTCAAAAAGAAACGTCAGCACTTGTCAGTGGATGCTTGCTTTAATGTAGACGTGTACTCGGCACTGACGGCTTTTGAGCAGTGAGTGATTTAGCAGACTAGGACTGGTTTCCATGTCCCACATGAGGTTCGAACCCGCGACGTAAGGATCAACTCCTTAATCCGCTACACCGCATCACGCACATTTATTAGTATAATACTCGTATTTACTTATGATGATAAAATTTTTCAACACTGAGACGTTGCGTTACGTTACACTTTTACTTAAAACCAAAGTTATCTATAGTTATCAACAGTTTCCTTCAAAATTGAAGATGAATAGAGCTGTTAAATTTGTGTCAAATAGTCACAACTTTTAACAAAGAGGTAACGTTCTCTTTAAAATTAAAAAGGTGTTGAAATTCTATTGTGAATTCCCTAAAACTAGTGCAGTTTCAACGACAAAAATCCTTTTTTCTTTTAAATTTTCATAAAACATGCATGCAACATATACTAATTACTTGACATTTGCATTTTTATGCATTACTCTTTAACAATATTTTTTTAATGTTGCCCAGTCAAAATTTCTTTATAGAGGCATTCTTTTGAAAAAAAAAATTAATAAAAAAAATTTCAAACACACATTGTTTAAAATATTGTAGCAAATCTGTAAATATCGTTGAATAGTGTACTTGTTATGACGCAGAGAGTTTATAAGAAGTAGAATGATATCTTCGCTTTGTGCTGGTCTATCGTCCCAAGGGTGATCCCGTCTATTACTCCCGTGGGTATTCGACGATGGTAATGGTTAAAACACCGGGATCTTCGTGTGATGCAACATTTATGGTATGACACAGTGTAATGAAGTGGTAATGACATTGAGATCACAGCGTACTGTAATGGTTGTGATGCTAGGCTCTCTGCGTACTGTAATGGTTGTGATGCTAGGCTCTCTGCGTACTGTAATGGTTGTGATGCTAGGCTCTCTGCGTACTGTAATGGTTGTGATGCTAGGCTCTCTGCGTACTGTGATGGTTGTGATGCTAGGCTCTCTGCGTACTGTGATGGTTGTGTCGCTTAGGATCTCAGCGCACTGTAATGGTTGTGTTGCTTAGGATCTACGTGTACCATAAGGGTTATGACATTTTGATCCTTGAGTACTGTAATGATTGGGACGTTGGACTCTCCGCGTACTGTAATGGTTATGCTCTCTGGATGCTATTAGGGTTAAGACATTGGGCTCTCCGCGTTGTGTAATAGTTGTAATACTAACAACGCACTGGTTAAGAAACTGGGAAAAACGCGTATTGTAAATTGGTAAGTATGAAATTATTGCATTAATAAATTCTATTTCACTTAGTTATTGATGATCTATTATACCATGTCTGTGATTTATAAATCTATCCGTCTTCAGTGGTCTTTAACTCACAGTTTCACTTTTGAAAGTCTCATTAATATATTATGGTTTACTATATGCAATTCATTCTTATCAAGTTTTTAAAACGTTTTTGGATAAAAAGTAAAACCAAAATGGGAAATAATTTTCCATCATCAAATCTAAATATTGATTTTTTTTAAAATTAAAAGATTACGAGAAAAATAATTATGTAGAGTAAAAATAGCCTTCCAGAAATTGTCTTTTACACTAACAATAATTCCCCGGAAAAGGGTATATAAAAGATTTGTTGGGCTTATTTCGGAAATGCTCAGCAACTCTTTATGGAAAAGCAGTTAATAACTTCTGTACTGAATATTAACTCACTATTTCCAGTAGGGAAACTACGGCCATTACGCAATATCCTCTGAAAATAAACTTGTACTTACACTGTCAGAAGTCGACTCCGGGTTGTTCCATACTTATCCAAAAATATACCAACGGGCAAAATAAGAACGTTCCTGATTATAATGATAACGTCATACAAAAGGTTAAGACGATCTTCCTGTTCGTCACAGAAATACTGGGTACCATTAAATGGCAGGCGATTCTCAAAGTCCTGTGGGGCCAACGTAGTGGTAGAAGTGGTCCTGCAATTTGACCGCCGTCCATTTCTTGAACTGTCTTGAATAGTTTCACTCAGGCTCTGGCCGTTGGAAATATCCTCTTCTGAAAAGGTAACATTGCAAAGGTCCAAGAAGAAGGCGTCTCGCCTGAGGGTAACAGTCAGCCACACCCATCCGAATATCACCCCCGTGAAAAATAGGCACTCCAGCAGGGCCCAAACAAAAGTCACGTGTCGCTTGTTGCAACAGCAGGAATCCATCGTCTTCTCGCCAGTATGCACTGAAAATCAGGAACCACAGAAGTATGTTTATATGATTGTCAGTATTGATTTTTCCGGTTTCAAAGTTATCAAGGCAAAATAATTTATTATACTAGTAGTATATAGAAAAACACAAAGGAGATATTTTATGAAATACTGGAAAATGATAAATCTTGTTAACATTCACAGCTGAGGGATTATGTGGACGTTTTCTGCTTTCATTTTATTTTAACTTTTATCAGAAGGGGAGAATATATTTAATTTACTATAGTATTTGGTTGTTAAAATAGATATGATTTATATCGAACGAGTTTTTTTGGATTTTTTAGGTCACCTGAGTAAACTCAGGTGACCTATTGCTATCTGCTATCGCCCGTCGTCGTGTGTTAACATTTGAACATTTTCAGCTTCTTCTCTGCAACCTCTCAACTAATTTCCATCAAATTTGGCATAAAGCATCTATGGATGAAGAGAAACAAAAATTGTGAATTTTATGGTCCCTGCCCCCTGGGGCCTGAGGGGTGGGGCCAAAACCACTAAAATTAATGCAATCTTTAAAAATCTTCTTCTTTACTCCTGGACATCAAGCAGTCGAATTGTTGGAATGATTGTAATTAGCATTGAGTCCTCTGCCAAAATTGTGAAATTCATGGCCCCTGGGTCAGGGGTTTTAGTGCTAGGGCGGGGCTATATAGATTATATAGTGAAAATGCATCATTTCTTTGAAAATCTTCTCCTCTGCTCCTGGGCAGTAAATAAACTAACTAAATACATAGTAATGATAAGCAAGAATGGCTCTTTCAAAATTGTAAATTTTGTGGCCCCAGGGTTTGGGGTATTGATGTTAGGGGGGAGGGGGCTCCATTGATTATATAGTGAAAATACATTAATTCTTTGAAAATCTTCTTCTCTGCTTCTTCCAAAATTATGAACTTCACGGCCCCAGGGTCAGGGGTTCTGGTGTTAGGGCCGGGTTCTATTGATTACATAGTAAAAATGCAGAAATTCTTTGAAAATCTTCTTCTCTGCTCCTGGGTATCAAGCAGATGAACTACCTTTATAGCTATGATGAGCAAGGGTCCTTCTTTCAGAATTGTGAATTTCAGGGTCCCTGGTTCAGGGGTACCATAGAGAGGGGTGCTCTGCTTATAAACTGAAAATGAATTGTTTAAAATCTGCTCCTTGGTTTTAATCAAACAATTTTGATAAGCAAGGGTGCCTTTTCCAAAATTGTGCAATGTGTGGACCTAGGATCAGGGGTTCATTTTGTGGTAGGGCACTACTGATTATTGCTGAATAGTAAACTCAGGTGACCTATTGCTATCTATTTTCGTACATCGTTCTTCAATCGGTCATAAACTTTTGAACATTTTCAGCTTCTTCTCTGGATCCACTGAGCCAATTTCAACTAATTTTGGCATGTAACATCTATGGGTGAGGGGGAACAAAAATTTTGAAATTCATGCCCCTGCCCCCCCCCCTTCCCTTGGGGCCTGAGGGGTGGGTCAAAAACCACTAAAATAAATGCAATCTTTAACAAGAGGCCCAGGGGCCACATCGCTCACCTGAGCAAATCGGCTAGGAAAAAACACAAATCAGATCAGAACTGAAAAGTTTACTGAAAGGGGGGGGGGGGGGGGGGGCTTGAATTTAATACTACTTTAGAATGCCTTCATATTAATACAGCATATGACTTTGCTGTTCTTGATAAAAGGATTTTTTAAAAACATTTTCTTCCTATACTATCACTAATCATTGCTTTGAAGTACTTGAGAAGACGATTTTCCTGTAAATTCCTATGTAAAACTTTGATCAGCCATTGTGGCCCCACCCTACCTCCGGCGGGGGTCATGATTTGTACAAACTTGAATTTACACTACGTGAGGATGCTTCCACCTGAGTTTCATCTTTCCTGGCCCAGTGGTTCTTGAGAAGAAGATTTTGAAAGATTTTCCCTATATACTCCTATGTAAAAATTTGATCGGCCATTGTGGCCCCACCTTACCCCCAGGGGTCATGATTTTGACAAACTTGAATCTACACTACCTGAGCATGCTTCCATATAAATATGATGAATTATGGCTTTGTCATTCTTGAGAAGAAGATTTTTAAAGAAATTTCCTATATATTTCTATGTAAAACTTTGGTCGGCCATTTTGGCCCCGCCCTACCCCCGGGGGTCATGATTTGAACAAACTTGAATCTACACTACCTGAGCATGCTTCCATATAAATATGATGAATTATGGCTTTGTCATTCTTGAGAAGAAGTTTTTTAAAGAATTTTCCTATATATTTCTATGTAAAACTTTGGTCGGCCATTTTGGTCCTGCCCTACCCCCGGGGGTCATGATTTGAACAAAATTGAATCTACACTACCTGAGCATGCTTCCATATAAATATGATGAATTATGGCTTTGTCATTCTTGAGAAGAAGATTTTTAAAGAATTTTCTTATATATTTCTATGTAAAACTTTGGTCGGCCATTGTGGCCTCGCCCTTCCCCCGGGGGTCATGATTTGAAAAAACTTGAATCTACACTACCTGAGGATGTTTCTCCATAAGTTTCATCTTTCCTGGCACAGTGGTTCTTGAGAAGAAGATTTTTAAAATATGCCACCAAATTTTCATTTATTCCCAATTATCTCCCCTTGAATGAGGGCGTGGCCCTTCATTTGTACAAACTTGAATCCCCTTCACCAAGGAAACTTTGTGGCAAGTTTGGTTGAAATTGGCCCAGCGGTTCTTGAAAAGAAGTCGAAAATGTAAAAAGTTTACAGACAGACTGACAGACGGACAGACAGACGGACGCTGGACAAAATGTGATCAGAAAAGCTCACTTGAGTTTTCAGCTCAGGTGAGCTAAAAATCTTCTTTACTCCTGGACATCAAGCAGTCAAACTGTTGGCATGATTGTAATCAGTATTGAGTCCTCTACCAAAATTGTGAATTTTTGGCCCCAGGGTCAGGGGTTCTAGTGCTAGGGCAAAGCTATATAGATTATATAGTGAAAATGCATTATTTCTTTAAAAATCTTCTCCTCTGACCATGGATATTACCTTATTTCCGTTTTTTTCGCGATGATCTATTTTTCGCTTTTCCTGCGATAATTTTTAATTCGCAAAATATAAAAAACGCAGAAAAAACATATACCATTTTTATAAAAAAAAAAATCTTCAATCGTAAAAAATAACACGCAAAATAATCAAAGTACTGAAAGTACTCATGGGAGTTAAACATGGTGTAAAATAAAATCTTTGAGGTTAAGTGAGTAAACAATATTATCATTTCAAATACAGACAACTGTTCCAGATTTTTTTGTGTTGCAACAATCTTGAGAAACACAGTCAGAGACATTGAATAGCAAAAAAAAAAACAAAAAAAAAACGCATGGGCCATAATGCTTGCCTGCCTACATTAGTCCCTTTTTTATACCCCGTGCTTTAAAAGCGGGAGGGTATTCATTAATCGGGATGTCCGTCCATCTGTTTGTTATGCTTTAGGTATACCCATCTCTTATCCGCAACTCCTCTTACACCACTGAATGAAATTTTCATAGAATCTTTATTGCCGTTGTGCAACTTCTGTTACTTTTTCATCCTACACATATTTTGGGTTTCCCATTGCAAAACATGGACACTGCCATTATATTGATATTAGAGGCGGTTGATCATTTACATAATTCACTGCTCACAGTACCTCTAGTTCATCTTCAAATATGTAATATATTTTTCCTTGGCACCTTTACCCATGTGTTATGAAAATTTGAGTTTCACAGGAATAATATCAATGTTGATAAAATGTGGATTTTCACACAGCATCCTTTTAAGAGCTAACAGGTTTGTTATATTAAACTTCTTCCATTACACGAAGTCAATATTGAACATGGAGTACGTCAGAACTTAATTTTTTTTATAATTGTGAAGAAAAAAGCATTACCAAGTTAAAAAACAAATATTTGATGATCAAATATAAAAACAGTGCTATATGTGAGAGTTTTTGTGCGTACAAATTATCTGGTATGTAAATGAGGTTTTCCCTTTTTTTTAAAATATACTTTATTTCGTTGTTTTTAATCGCGATTCTACGAAAACATCGGTGTCCGTTTTTGGTTTTAACATTTATAACAGAGTACTAGATTTACCGCTTTTTGGCAGGTGATACTGCTGATTTAGTAATAAATACGCATGTTTCCTAAAGTTTTTATGCATTAATGAATTTATTTAAACCAAGAAAATGTTCATGAAAAATTTGAATAAATTCTGTGCACTGGTAAAAAAGACATTGCTAAAAATGCAAAATCCGGGACCATCGGGAGTCGGGATTCGGGAAGACTAGTTTTACCGCTAGCCGTCAGTATGTAGAGTTGTCGTTCGCATCTCTTTCAGTGTTTATAGATGACGCTACACTAAAAATGAGTTCCTTTACGAAAAACTTTAATTTAAGGTTATTTATAATTTAGTTTTACTTTGAACGAAATCTAATATTCAAAATAAGATTACTTTATCATTACATTTACTTACATTTCAAATTATGAAAATTAGATCAATTCAGGAAAAAATGACATGAACTATTTGCGGCGGATGTTTATGCATGTTTTCTGTTGAATATCATCGGAGTAAATTGGTCGACTCAGTAGCCTCGCTTTCGGCTCTATGTAATCAACACAAATTACTGCGCATGTTAAATGCGTGATGACCAAGGGAGATTGAACATAGTTCAACTCCCAAAAACTGTACAAATATACCCTTTTTTCGCAAAATTTCCAACGCGCGAAAAAAAAACGAATAAACGGTAAACAAACTAACTAAGTATAAAGTTATGATGACCAAGAATGCCTCTTCTAAAATTGTAGATTTCATAGCCCCCGGGTCAGGGGTTCTGGTGTTAGGGCGGGGTTCTATTTATTATAAAGGGAAAATGCATAAATTCTTTGAAAATCTTTTTCTTTGCTCCTGGGTATTAAATAAACTTACCAAGTACAAAGTGATGAGCAAGAATGTCTCTTTCAAAATTGTGA